CTGGTGTCGTTCCTGCTATAATAGCATCGCGCTATCCGCTTCCTTAGTACTTCTCTTCTCGGTCTGTACCTTAATACTTAAGTGTCTTGGAGTAAGCAGGGAGTGCCTTTACGTCGTGAAATCCGATATGGTGAATGGATGCGCTTACTAGCACATTCCTGATAGGTGCCCTTGTTTCTGGAGTTTTTGATAAAGATTACCAGATAAATTTACCAAGTCTTCATAAGCCAGTATATCCTCCTTCGTTCTGCATATCTGTTTTTAGTACACTTCTGTCCTATCTTTTCGCGCCCAATCGCATTGTTTGGCACGAACTTCAGTGGACACCAGAAGATTAAGTGACTATCAGCGAGAAGATGGCTAAATTCTATAGGTGGCTTTGAAGCAAATAACCTTCAACTCGTAAGCATGGTGCAAAACGGCAGCGGAAACTTCTGTAATGCGCTGAAGTCGAATTTCCTGGCGGTAAACAACGTATTCTAGCAGACCATCCGCCGTCTCCGAAATGGAAAGAAGGGCAGTTTAAAAGTCCTGCACCGCAAGCCGGGATGCCCACTTACCGAGGATGAGAACATTTTGGCGATGGAGAGAGTACTCTGAGGTACTCCTTAACTCCGAGCAACCGCAAGAAGACTCGCCTGAGGGCAGCAGGCATCGAATTCTTTCAGTAGATGAAGGCACAGTTGCTGCAACAAGCTTGAAAAGTGGTAAGGGTGCTGCAGTGTTGAAACCCGCCCGGAAATGCTTAAGGCACTAGGCGAACAAGGAATGCTACGGTCAACACGTGTCAAACTGCAATGACTACGGGCAAGAAACCAGCGAGCTGGAGGGAGGCCATAAGGAGTGCTCCAATAATCAGGGTATTACTTTCTGGAGTATTTCGCATCCCGGGAAAGGTTTACGGAAACGTACTAGAAAGGTGCCACGGAAAAACTGAATCTAAGAAAAATAAGATCAGAATCTTCAAGTCAAACCGAAACACCTCTGAAAAAAATCTTCGCCTTACGCCAGATTATTGAGACACTGTGGGAGTTCGATCATTCGATGTACAGGTGCTATGTGGACTTGGAGAAAACCTATAACCGGATCCCGTGCAACAATCTATTGTCGTGCCTGCAAATGTACAACAGGATCGATGGTTAGTTGCTCCAACCACTACATGTTGAAAGCAGGCG